TATGTTTCTTCATTAATGCTTAGTGGCTAAGCACGCACCACATTTATTGGTGCATGGCTAAATATTCAAATAACCACCTCAATGAATGCTACCTACCTCATTATTAAAGAAGATTCTATAAAATAGGTGAAGAGTTTCACCTCTGCTATAAATAAATGCAAAACCCTTTTGAAGGGTTTCCTAAGCTAAGAGCCTATAAGAATCCTCTAAAGAGAAGTTTGAGTGAAAGACCTCTTTAGAGAAGAACCTTGGAACCATCATTATTGGTGAAGTTTGAGTGTAAACTTTTAGTGACACTAAGGAAGCTTGACTCTTGTAATCTTACTATTTATAGTGAAAGATTTTTTCTGGACAAAGTCCCATGAGTTTTACTCCTTTGCAATAGGAGAAGTTTTTCATGCTAAAGTTTGCATGTTTTCTTCTCCATTTCTCTAATTTCTGCACTTTTTGTTTCCTACATATAGGTTGACCTACTGTCTATTGGTCGACCTCTAATTGCTGAGCTATGAGCTCGACCTAGCAACCTGCAAATTTCTTCCACGTTGATTGATGGATCTCATCCCAATAATAATTAATAATGCTCTTTATCTTTATTACAATCATAAAGATTTCAACAAAGCTTAGAGGGAATAATAAGGATAAGGAAATGAGGGAGTGAAAGAAAGTATAAAATCTAAAAGTATTGGAACTACGTGCCACATAGCATGCCCCAATATTTTTTTTATAGATTACGTTAGTGTCACTTACAATAATATCTTACAAATGCGACGTATTTTGATATGTAATATAATTTTATTTTCATAAATTTCAGGGGAAAGGTTATATTTATAAATTTTTTTTTACAAACTACACTATGTCTGACCGGTCATACACTAATCAAAAGTGTATTACATACTTAGTTTAATTTGTAAAAAAAATTTGTGAACAGATCATTCTCCATTTTACTTTTGCTATAGAATTTTTTTTCTACCATACTTATGTAAATGTGAGTAAGTCTTATTCTAAAATGAGAGAACAAAAAATTGCAAAACTCGCTCACCTTTATATGAATATGGCAGATTTTTTTTTCTATAACACAAATATAAATATTAAACCTTATATTTGTTTTTTTTCTCTCTCTCAATATACGTGGCTTATTATTATTGTTATGCTTCAACTATAAAAATTATTTATGATATTTTAAATAAGAAATATTATGACGGTGACATGAAGCATGCTAAGCAACAGCGGACCTACATATGTTTCTATGTCTGCAATTGCAGACATTAATTTTATTTTATTTTTGGTTGAAACTGATGATTTTGGTGGTTGACATTTGATGATTTATAGTACTCATGTCTACATATGATTTATGTTAAGTTGAAGGGTTTTTTTTTTTTAATTTTTTTGTTTTTTAATGCCTTTAAAATTTTTATTAAAAAAAGAATCGGCCCGAACCCACCACTAAATATGCACACAAATATAATTTTCTGGGTTATTGATACTAAGTGTCTATATCCAATATAATAATTTTTTAAACATTTTAAGTTTTTATTATGATAAATGTGTAAAAAATATATATGACAAACATGTTTCATATATGTAACTATTTTTTTTTTATATTTACATATATGTAACTATATATTAGATTATACTCAATCATGTCACACACGCAATGTTATACTAGCTTGCTAAATATATCATTAAGACATTAACAGTGGAAGTATTCGTGTGAAACATATATTTACAATGCACATTCGCAAAGGACTTGAATTTTCTAATATCATCTTCACATTATATTTGAGAACAAGCCTCCAATGGTTAGAATCTTCAAAGAAGACGGGTTTATAATTGAATTAGAAGCTGAAAGACATTGTTTTTTCGTAATTTTTCATGGATTTATTGATAAATAAGAGTCCACTGAATATTGGCTCAAAATTTTTAGATCCATCGAAATTTCCAAACAAAGTGATTTCGAGATCATTCGTTAATCTAGAACAACTATATATTACTAGTTGATCCACACGTTTTGATGGTTTACAATGGATTTTCAATATTATATGAAAGTATTTTTGTTATTTAAAGTGATTTATAATATTTTAGGTAGAATGTTCGAGTTTACAGAAATACATTTATCTTTCCTTAATTTATCGTAAAGAAATAATTTAAATTAATTAATTAATGAAAAAGTTATTTGTCCTTTTAAATAAGATAACATTATATTTTTTAAAGTGAAACATGATATATTATTATAATATTTAGCAAATTAAAAAATAATTTTTTTTTATAAATAGAAAGATAATTAATGAAGTATTTTAGTGAAACATTATAATTTTATTTAAAATAATATAATATAATGGGTTTTGTTCTTGTCATGTTACATGACAAAAAATCATTTTCCTACCATGTAACGTGACAAACCATTTCCTCTAATATAATATTTTTAAAATGACAATTTTTTTTAATTAATAGCATAAAAAATATTCTGATTTATTATTATGTGTTAATTTTTTAAGGAGTATATTTGATTAACTACAATTTTAATTACAATAGTCTTGATAGATTTGATATGCAAGGTTGTTGAATCGGAATCTGTATCGTTTCCCTTTTTTGTGACATATCATGAATCGTATCAAATTGTGAGATACATAAATATAATAAAAATAATTTAAAAATATATAATATACTTAATATCATATAAATTCAAATTTAAAAGAGGATCAAGTCAGCAAAATACATAAGTAATTGATGTGGAAACCAATTATCTCTTATTCATCAATTATCAAAACTAATATTATATATCACTACTATTACTATCAGCATCTTTCGCGACATAATTAATCCATTACCTTTTCATTAGTGAAGTTATTGAGTTCGTTTTTTCTGCAGTTACTGCAAATAAGTTATTTGCAGTAAGTCCAATATGACGTCGTTTTGGAGGCAGAAATCATGGTATTTTTATTTCAAGGTTATTATAGTCTTTATAATTATAAATTTTAATATTTCAATTCCAAAACGACATCGTTTTGGGAATAAATGTAGATAACTTATTTGTAGTAACTGCGAAAATATTTTTCTGGTAGTTATTTGACTCATTTTCCATTTCTTGTTTAACAATCTGAGGTTCTTTTCCCTTGTCATTTTTATTGACAATATCATTTCGTTAATCAAGCGAGTTAACATTATCTTGTTCTTGTATAGGTGATGATGCCTTTACTTTTATTATTCCTGTTGGCTTTAAGATTTCGAGGACCTAAAAAATAAAAATATACATAATAAAAAATATATTTATTTAATGGGTAAAGGATTTCTCCAGTCACTGAAGATAAGTTATCTCAAGTGAGCTCAAAACGACGTCATTTTGAGACGAAAATCAAAGTATTTTTGTAATTTTAATATATTGCAGGGTTATATCAGTTTTTATCATTATAATATTTTAATCCTATAATCCCAAAACGACATCGTTTTGAGCTCATTGGAAATAATTTTATCTCCAGTGGAGAAATACTTTTCTCTTATTTAATTATTTCCTATTAATACAAAATTTTCAGATTATTTTTTTAATTTAAATTACAAATCAAATGTTTATTTTCTTTTCCTTACGATACAATATTGTATCATCCGATCCACCCATTTTTCGATACACTTATCAATATGTATCGTTAGGGGTGTCAATATGGGTTTTTGACACGCGGGTCGATCCGCGACACGACACGAAAATTCGTGTTCGGGTTGACCCGTAAAAAAATTCGTGTCGTGTTCGTGTTGGAAAAAATGACACGCAAAAAATTCGTGTCGTGTTCGTGTTTATGAATTCGTGTTCGTGTCGTCCCGTATTATTTTTATTTTTAATTTTTTTATTTTTTATTATTATTTTTTAATTTTTTATTTATTTTCGATCTATTTTTTAAATTTTTTTGTTAATTACCGTTTTGTCCCCTATTTTGCGTGTTATTCGTGTCGTGTCGTGTCAACCCGCAAAAAATTCGTGTCGTGTCAGTGTTGAAGATTTTGACACGAATGAAAATTCGTGTCGTGTTCGTGTTGATGTATTCGTGTCGTGTCGAATTCGTGTCGTGTCAAATTCGTGTCGTGTCAACCCATATTGACACCCCTACGTATCGTATCGTGTATCATAAGATAGTTAAGATACTGATGGATAATTTTTTTTTTTTTGGAGTTACCCAACCCTAATTACCTCTTTGAGGCGAGTTGGCTCCCTCCGGTATCCCCACGACCTTCGACTCTTTGAGCCGGCTATGAGACTAATCCGGAGTGCGGGGGAGCAGTGATGGCTAAAGGTTCAGCCCCCTCCCCAAGAATGCATTCAGCAAGAATCGAACACATGTCCAACCCCACTAACTCAGCGCCAAGTTACCAACTGAGCTGCACCGATTGGGTAGTGATGGATAGTTATGATAAGCCAAGCTAAGCCTTTTTATTTTTAAAAAATAATCAGAGCAAAACTATGAAACTTAAAATATTCAGCATAGCCATGAACTATTTAGTCTAAAACGAGCATAATCTAATTAGGCTATGTTTTAAGAAAAATAACATGAAATGTTGTGAAATGACGAAAGACACACTCTTCCGTTTATTTTCCCTCCACCACGGCGTGTTCGTTTTCGAAGGTTGACGTGTACAGCTGAAAATCCGCTCCTCTCTTTCTTTTCTCATTGCACCATTTCGGAAGACAATAAAATAAAACAAAACATCCATTCCTTACATCACATTTCATTTCAGAGAGGAGAAAGAAAGAAAGAGAGGGGAGAGAGAAAACTGTTTTTTCTTTTCACTTTCTTCAGGCTCTCTCCTTCTCTCTTCTTTCCCTTCAATCCTTCCTCTTTTTATTTCATTTATGCTTCTTCAGGTATGTTACAATGCTTGAATCATTATGTTTCAATGTGTATTATAATAATCTCTTTGAGCTGCATTGCCTTTTTGATCAATGTTGATGCAGGGTTTTGTCTGCGATATATCTATTTATACATATTTAGTTCTGTGAATTTGGGATCACGGATATGAGTAACAAAAGTGGTGAATTGGCACAGGTAAAATTTCTGGCAAATGACATTACTTTATTTTGTTTTTCATATTTTTTTTCATGCAAAAATTCCTTGCTCAGAATAGCCTGTGTTATGTAGTACATGTTTTCTGTTTTCTCCATGGGTTTTGAATTAATTAGGAATGAGGGGTTGTGGTGCCTGGAAATGTGGAAATTAGAATACAATATAATTGTTTTTAGTGTATATTGAGGGAGAAAGTCATATGGTTATGTGTTCGTTTTGTAGGGGAATAATGGTGATGCTTCCCTTCCCTCTCCTAATCCTCAGCCTCAGCCTGGGCCACAAGATCATCGACGTTCTCATAGTAGCCATGGCAATCCGGTATGTGTTTTTCATTGCAAACACAGCATTTAGAACTGTGTTTGAATTTCAATTGGTTCGGAAGCATGACTGTGAATGGCTTTGTCACCATGTTCAAGTTTTGTGTTCATTAGCCTGGTCACTCGGTCATTCAGTTCAGTTGGTTCCCGAGTTGGATTTTTGTACATGATTATACATTGTTTTTTGAAATTATTCTTGTGATTTTTTAAATCATACCCTAGTTGAGTGTTTTGCAGTGATTTTGTGATGGGTTCTTACACTCCAAGGAGACATATTATAATAAGAATCTAGCCCCCAGTGGTTGATAAAGAGAACAAGTGGGTCAACCATTAAGAACTTAAGTTACCGCAAGACACATGCTCTAGCCTATATTTGGATTGATGGAAAGGGATGGAATGGAATGGCATTAGTTGCCATTGTTTATAGATAGTTTAAAAATAAGGTGGAAAGAAAGCATCCTAATGGAATCCATTCCATCCAATACCTTTATCTTTCTTCCCCCCAATTCCATTCACTTCCTAAACAATGTTGTTAAAACGTAGAGTCTATGTGAAAACGGTAGGGGTGAGCAAAAACGTAAAATTGCAAAATGTAAACGAAACGTAAGAGTTTACTAACGTATTAAAAATAAAATATATATCCAACATATATAAAACCAAAACCCACAAACATGTTTATTTTATAAGAATGTCAATTTTAATCTTTGGTTTAATTTATATAGAATAATTTTAATGTATTAATTATATAAGTTATTAAATTTAAGCTAATTAATGACTAAAAATATATATATATATATATTTTTTATTATTACGTGTTATATATATATATATTTGAACTATGCAAAAAAAAATAATATTACGTTGTTTGAACCGTTTCTACGTTTCGACACTACGTTTGAACCGTTTCGACTCAAAATCCGTTTCAACTACCGTTTTGACTCGATTTTGGTCATAAAAATGTATACACGGTCCGTTTTTACGTTTCGACACTACGTTTTTACAACACTGACTTCCTAAACAATAGAATGGTAACTTTCCTCCATTCCATCCTAAAATATCCAAACAATGGTAAGGTAATTTTTTTCCATTCCATTTCATCCATCCCTTTTTACTATGTTTGGATATTTAATTATGGGTGGAATGGAATGGTATGGATATTTTATGATGGAATGAAGTAAAGTTTCCATCCCATTGTTTGGAAAGTGGGAAAAATGGTACAAAGGTTAGTGAACAATAAGTTGGTTCCATCTCATTCCATCCCATACCCCCCAAATTGGGTGGAAGAAAAATAGAGCTATTAGTTGGAATTGAATGGAATGCATTCCATGATGTTTTAAACAATCCAAACAATGGAAATTGACGTCATTCTATTCCATTCTACTCCATTCCACCTCTTTCCATCAATCTAAACATATTACAGAACGCGCTTGAGGAGAGAAGGGAGCAGTGTGCTATGTGGGCTGGTCAACTTTTGGAGGTTGTGTTTGTTAGTTGTTAGGGTGGCAGGCTAGATTGATGATGGCAGGTTGAGTGGAGGGTCAGAGGGTGATGCCACCTTTATTAGAGCTTGCATGTGCTAGGGCACTTGCATGCTAAGGTATTTGCAAATTTGGGGTGCACTCATATGCTTCTTTGAGGGTTGAGACTGTGGCAAGGTTGGATGGTTAAGTAAATGGAAAACGCTACTTATAGCTTTAAATGAAGGGAACTACTTACCTCATATTCTCAAGAGAGATTCCTTACAAAGATAGTAAAGCCTTGATGGATTATCCTTCACCTAAGAGACTATGTTACGATCCCATTTGCAAGGTATGGGACTTGGAGTCCCACATTGGTTGTATGGGCAACTAATGTGGGGTTTATAAGGTCTTGGGCACTCCCACCCTTTGAGTTAGCTTTTGGAGTGGTGCACCTCAAGGTTCTTATCAAATGGTATCAGAGCCTTCTACTATGCCTCCCGGTTGCAATCGAGCGGCGCGGGTGGTGACGTCGGCATTAGCGGCGCGGGTGGTGACGTCGGCATTGCAGTGTTCGCCCGAGGCTAGTATAAGACTAGCGCAAAACCAGCCCGCGTGGGCACTGGGGCTGCAGAGTGTGGTGGAATGTTACGATCCCATTTGCAAGTATGGGACTTGGAGTCCCACAATGGTTGTATGGGCAATTAATGCGAGGTTTATAAGGCCTTGGGCACTCCCACCCTTTGAGCTAGCTTTTAGGGTGGTGCACCTCAAAGTTCTTATCAGACTACCAATCCACTGAGTGTAGTTCCCTAAAGGGGAAGAGCACTGCTTCCCCAGAGAGCATTGTACGCTGGGGAGCACAATGTCCTTTATAGAGCTTGAGATGGTGTCCTTGATCAAGCATGCTTTTTATAGGTTTGATGCCTTTGGTGTGCGTTACTAACTATGTTATCCTTTGGTATATTTCATACCAAAACATTGCACTTACCCCTCATGATGAAGGGCATGCTAATTGAATTGCTATTAAGTTTAGCTGGTTTAAAGTGAATTGTATTATTATTTTTTTATGGATTTCACTCCGTGTTGCTCACTTACTGCAGTTCAAATTCGTGTGATTTCATCTCTTGCAGATTTTCAAGAGTGGTCCACTTTTCTTATCCTCCAAAGGTGTGTTTTACTCCTCTACTTTACTCATTTACTTCTAAGGAACTATAAATTTGTATCATTTGCTTCTAGGGCAAGGCTATCAGTAAAAACGCATCTAGTGTGCTTTTATACCTATAATACAACAGACAGTCATAAATCTTTAAAAGCAAGAAAAATCAAATATTTGATATTCACCTTTTCATGGTTGTCAGACAAGCTGATGCTTTCTCACACACAGTAGCATGATTGTCGAATGTTGAAGTTTCATGTACCCAGGAATGGAATTTTAAAACAGAAGCAAACTTGTGGATAAAAGCCAAGACAACCATTGGACGACCATAAACAAGTTTCTACCCAAAAAGAAGTGAGAAAATAAATGCAAACCAGGAACCGAGGATAACTTTGTAATGATCTTTGAAGCATAAGTATAGAAAGAAGCTCTGATCTGAACCTTTATTAGATGAGTAGAACATTAAGAAATAGATATGCTACAATATTAAATCTTTTCGCTTTGCTAATTCTTGTTCCTTTAATCCTTCCCAAACGTAATTGCAGTTTGTATTGTACTATGTAACATGTATAATACTCAATTGGAAAGCTAAAATCCAACTCTTGAAAAAATGACCGACTTCTTTGAAGTAATTATTTATTGTACAGTATGTATTTCATAATGTGTAGGAATTGGGTGGACATCCTGGAAGAAAAGGTGGTTTATTTTAACACAAAATTCACTTGTTTTCTTCAGAAGCGATCCAGTAAGTAATTTTGTTTCAGCATCTGGTTTGTCCATCTTTTTCCACTGTGTTCCCTGTATGGTGTAAGCATTGAACCTGTGTTTTTACCATCTCTCCCCTTCCCTCAAAAAAAAAAGTGCATGGTAACTGATCATGAAGTTCACTCACTTTGAGACTACAGTACAGAGAAAAAAAAGTTTCTAAAATTTATTCAATTTTCCATCAGTTGTTTTCTTTAAGAATTGAAAATATATCTGCGGAAGAGTGTTGGTTGTAGTTTTTCAACTTTTGAGTACCTAAGGCTAAAGAAGGCCAATAGAGGGTGGTAATATTTTTACCTAAAAAAATTATTTATTTTTTGCCTTCAGTAAAATTTTCTTCATAAATGTCACAATAAATATATAAAATAATTTTCTCCGTTATGTTTGTCTAAGTGTATTCCTTAATCATTTTATGTTCTACTTTTTAGAGTGTTGTTTCTGAGAAGGGAGATGAAGTGAATTTGACCCTTGGTGGCATTGACCTCAACAATTCAGGCAGGTTGGCTTGTTTTTTCACAACTACTCATTATTAGCTTTCTGTTTTTCTTCATAATATCACTGTGTATTTGTGAACTTTCTTGACCTCCTACAACTCAGGTTGTCAAATTTTGTAGTGTTGTTGTCAAAGCAGATAAGAAACTTTTGACAGTACAATTTCCTGATTTTCGTGATGGACGAGCATTCACACTTAAGGTGCTTCATTTTTTCCTTAAAATGTTTAGCATTTGTTTTCTTTTGAAATATGTTTCAAGACAAATTTATTTATGCAATTTTCTGTTTCGATGATATAACGTACTTTAATTGTTAATGCAGTTAGCATTATGTTTGTGAGTTCTATTAGGTTTGATATGCTCAGTGGTTTGACACAAATTGGGATAAAGATTGTGGGAGATTGTAAATAGGCTAATAATATCTATAATTATGGTAATTAGGATATTTGAGATTCTTGTAATTATTGCATTTAGTGTATATAGAGTCTAAGTTGTAGGAGATTCTTGTTATTCTTGTAATTCAAGGATTTCATCAACCATTTCTTGCTTTCTTTTCCCTTAATATGGTATCTAGAGCCTATTTCATGCCTACCCATTGGAACACTACCACCATCACCAACATTAACACCTACTTTACCTTTATTACAAACTAGCTGGTTAGCAGTTGATGGACTCAAATAAAAAACAATTAAAATTTGAGGGAAAAGAAAAATAAATAAATAAATAGCAGGTTTTCCCCAAAAAACCGTGTTTCAAATTTGGTTTATGGTCTCCACTATTGTGTTATCCTTGGTGGTGGAAGATTGGAAACTAGTGTCGGAACACGATGATGAAAATAAAGTAGAGCTTCGAATTTTAAGGATAGTGAAATAGTGACACAACAAGTCATGGAGGATAATACTGCTTTGCTATGATAAAATTATAGGGATTTAGGTATAGAGATAGGAAAACAAATAATACTATATTGATATTGTTTTGAAGGATAAGACAAAGTAATAAAGCCGTATCATCTACATCCAGAATTCCAAATGGTCCTCGAGATTCTTGCTCCTTTTGGACCATTTGTATCTATATGCATTAGGATCCTGATTCATGGATCTCTCGATTTGAGAAATAAAAATAAGATGATCAAACCATCTCTTCTGGCTCTTTTTCAAATTTGATAAATGTTGGTTGATTGTGTATTTCATTATCGTTCTATGATTCAGAGTCTCATTTCCTATTTGATATCTTTGAATTCCATATTCGAAGTTGCGATCGAATCGATTCTATTTAATTAATTGATTTAATACATTTCTTATGTACCCATAAGTGCTATATTGGATTTGAATCAGATTTCGGCGGATCAATCTATATTGATTGACTGCCTCCATTATGTTCTTGCTAGCAAAGACCATTATTTTTGGCTTTGAATCTTCCAAATCATTCCCGCAAACTCTTCAAAATAAAGAAATAAATATATAAGGAAATGTGGAAACTAATCGTAAGAGATCATCTAAGATACTCTAAATTATTTTAAGACATAATATTATAAGATATCTTCTAGATATTCTAACACTAGTGTCTCATGAAGGGACCAAACATATTGAAATTGATGGTCACTTTATTAGAGAGAAAATCTTATCTTGAGACATCAGTAAAGCTTTGTCAATTTGAATGATCAATTGGTGGATGTGTTCACTAACGCTTTAAAAGGTCCTTGATTAAGTTATACGTAACAAACTTAGAGCATATGATCTATATGCTCCAGTTTAAGATGGAGTGTTGGAAAATATATAAATATTGTAATAAGGCTAATAATATCTTCTAATTATATTAATTATGATATTTGAGATTCTTGTAATTATTACATTTAATGTATAATAGAGTTCTACTGTATAATTCAAATACAAATTTCATCAAATGTCTCTCATATTCTTTCCCCTTAACAAAGATAAATGAAGAAATGAGAACATGAAAATTGTTCATTTTTGCTAATGCATCATTTCATTTGAATATGCTGTAGGCCGAAACACTTAAAGATTTATATGAGTGGAAGCTCGCACTTGAGAATGCTTTGGCACAAGCACCAAGTGCTGCCAATGTGGTGGGCCAAAATGGTATCTTCAGGGGTGATCAGACTGATTCACATAATACTTCTTTGGACCAATGTATGCTCTTGCTGTAGTTGTGCTTCTCATATGTTATTTCCTTGACAATTGGCACCTCCTTGTGTGTACACTATGAATGTTGCACATGGCTGTGTATAGTGCTTCATGAAACAATTTTATTGTCATCACTAATCTCTTAGGTTGAAATAGTTCTTTACATAGTGTATCAGAGCCTCTGAGACCAAGTGGTCACAAGTTCGATCCTCACGGTCTTCATTCTGTTAATAAATAATTAAATAGTGTGGAGTTTTCTAGCACAAGTAGGTGAGCCTGAGCATTGTTCACCATTCAAGCCCAATGAACTCTTGTTTCAAGCCCATAAACTCTTGTATGCGGGGACATGTTTGAGAAATATAATATAAAAACCATTAATATGACCTTAATCTTAAAGCTGAAATTTTTGGATTGAAATGGTTCTTTACAGATTTTTTCCTAATACCATGAATTTTTCTGTAATGATATTTATAAGCAAAAATGTATAACTTGCTTGCTTTACTTTCATATGATTTTCTGCATTTCTTCTATAGTGAAGGATAGAGATGCAGTGAAATATAAAGTTATTGGCCGGCCAATTTTACATGCTTTGGAGGAAGTTGATGGAACACCATCCTTTTTGGAGAAAGCCCTGAGATTCATTGAAGAGCATGGTGGGTTTTCTTTTCTTTTCTGTAAGAATTATTTTTGTTTAGTGCCAGAAAAAAAAAAGAAAAAAGAAATGCTTTTGTTTATTGAGTTTAGAAGTATGAATACATTCTTTTATCTACCAAAACTGGAAAAAAAATGTGACTGCTTTTTTATGCATGTCCACATTAAACTACTCTACACTTTTCTACCAAACTGATTTTTTTCATGCTTAAGGAAATTATTTTAATGCATGTTTCGGTTTGAAGCATCATAGGAGACATTTTATCCTGAATGCATTGTTGATGGATTAATCCACTGGTTCTTTATTTTGCATAAATTTTTTACCTTAGTTGGCATATTTAATGCATTAGTGATATTTTTGAATAGAAAAGTGCAAAGTTAGAGTAACCTCTTCAATTAAGAAGAACATTAACCACAACAAATTGGGGTCCACGGCATGGATCAATCGATGCCTAGCATGTTTGTCTTAGTTGCATTCTACTGCAAATGTACTTTAGCACATCTTCCAAGGATTTTCAATTTTGTATGCTTCCTGAGTGTTTTGTTGAAGGAAGTGTGTAGCTCCTATTTGTGAATGCCCGGTTGTGTTTAGAAAACTTCAAACCAAATTTGTTAAGAACCTTGGGATGCACCATCCCAAAAGCTAGCTCAAGGGGTGAGAGTGCTCAAAGCCTTATAAAGGCCATATTAGTTGCCCATCCAATCAACGTGGGACTATATATCTCAACACGCCCCCTCACGCAAGAGCCCTTTAGGCTAGAAGCGTGGAAATTGCACAGGCTCATTTTTGGTTTACCTTTTTGTGTTTTTTATTTATTTATTTTAATTTTACTTTTTAAAGCGGGGGACGGTGAGGCTCTGATACCATGTTAAGAACCTTGAGGTCACCACCCCAAAAGCTAGCTCAAAGGGTGGGAGTGCCCAAGGCCTTATAAAGGCCATATTAGTTGCCCATCCAATCAATGTGGGACTATATATCTCAACACGCCCCCTCACGCAAGAGCCCTTTAAGCTAGAAGCGTGGAAATTGGACATGGCTATATCAGAAACTAAATTTTCAGTGCCAATGAACTTGTAGCTCGATCGGTACTGGCCTTAGTCTTTAAGATTGAGGTGTGTTGATGATGTTAGAGGTTCCATACTCCGCTATATCACTTATTTCCATCTCTTGTCCAGTTGCTTGCACTTCCAATGTACCCAAAAATAAACCAAATTTCAGTTAAACTACCGAAAGCAATGCAAGTTTTTTAATGGTTTCTACTGAAGTTAACTGAGGTTTTCCTATATTCCTTTTTTTTTCTAAGTAGATAGGTTTTCCTATATTTCTTTTTTTCTAAGTAGATAGGTTTTCCTATATTCCTTTAATTGATTATCATTGTGACCTTGTGAAGGTGGTTGGTGGGAGGAGAGGAAGCAAGCAGCAAATATATATTAGTTTCTTCTAACCCTTCTGATATTGTTTACACATGGCATTAATTATTTGTGTTTCATATGAATCTAATCAATGTTATAAAACAGGAGTCAAAGTAGAAGGGATCTTGCGACAAGCAGCCGATGTTGAACATGTTGAAAATCGAGTGCGAGAATATGAAACAGGTTTGTGCTTTTGTTCCTGGCAAATCTTTGAAATTTATGTTTTTGTCTGAACTTCTGCCTTGGATGCCTCCATTTTGAATACATTGTTTGCTAAAGTTCATTTCAAGCATTAAGAGGTTTCACCATATTTCAGGATTTGCACAAAAGTCCTTTTCTAGTATGTCAGTTAATAGATCGTTACATTGGATGGTTTTTTCCTACTCGTAAGAGTTTTTTGTATGCAAAGGCCCTTCCAGGGCATGAAATTTTTTATCTCGTATGAGTTTTTCTATGCAAATAATAAAGAGTATGAAGTTTTCTAGTGTTCCAGTAGCAGATACTGTTCTTCTTCTTCTCCTTTTTTTTGTTTTATATAATTTGTCAAAATTTCTCATCAAATCTCATTGTTCATGGATATGGCATATGGTTGCAGGAAAAGTTGAGTTTTCTGAGGAGGAGGATGCCCATGTTATTGCTGATTGTGTTAAGGTATCTTCATGATAAACTGAATGGCTGATTCCTTTATCGAGCACATACATTAAAAGCTATAATTTTTTATTTTAATTTTCTTTTATAAATTTCTAGCATGTACTTCGACAACTACCATCTTCTCCAGTCCCTGCATCTTGCTGCAAGGCGCTTTTAGAAGCTCGTAGTAAGTATACTTTAGTTTTTGCATCTTAATATGATATAATTTATAATAATTACCAAGTCACCCAGTATTTTTTTGACATGATCTTTCTGCTGTTACTATGCTTAAATAGCCACCATCTAAGAGGATGTGAGAATAACCATCAAATTAGCACTGTCTTACATTAGCACAATCTTTCTACTGTTTCTCTGTTTAAGGAGTCCAATTCTAGTTATTCTCCAGATTTTTAGAAACTTATAAAAGAATATTTTATCACTAATAGGCATGAATCAAAACTCAGAAGCTAGAGAATTGAAGGTCCCGAATCATTTATAGTGGTTAAAAAATTAATAGGATATAAGGATAGCAGATATTAAATGTTGCACAGATATGTAAGAGATAGATATACTGTCACATTCTTGATATGCTGCGCATAGCGTTGATGCATGCAGTCATTACTGTCACTGGATGACAGGGAGTTTATCAAATCCCTGTAACTGAATCTAACTGATTATGGTGTGTTGGTTGTATCTTGGATCAGATGTCAAGTTTTCAGATCAATAAAATATAATATTCTCTCAACCTCTTGAATCTTCTTTACTACATTTTTTTTGCATTTTCTCGGTTTGTTTCAAGTAAGGTTCTTTCAATTTAGTCTGATGCCCTAACAGAAGAACCATATGGGAAGGGTTTTTTCTGTTTTTTTAGAGGACTAATTCATCAAATTTTAAAAATGAGGGACCACCACCATGATGTGGTGTGGAGGACACCTGTGGTTTATCTAAAAAAAAAAAAACGAGGGACCAAATTTGAAAAGAAGAATATGGTGCTGTATTGGCACAGGCCAAAGAACTAAAACTACTTGTAGGTAGGTTTATTTAAAATTTCATTCATGTAAAAATTGGTCACATGTGAATTAAGATGTCATGTAATAAAAGCTTAACTTGTTGCATTAGATTTTGTTAATAGAATATGACTATAGACGTATATGTGATTCAGAGATAAAAGATAAATATAAATGAAAACTTCTTCAATACTTGAGGTTGAGGCTGGAGGTTCCTCTAGCGATCTCAGTAAGTATATCAGTCATACAAACAATAAAGAAGTGAGTAGAGTATCGTTCCCACGAGAATTAGAGGCTCCACGCACTATTTTTACTATTTCGTTTAAGTTGGACAAATCAAGGTTGATTTAGGAAGAATGATTTCTAATTAATGAAAAGTCAATTTAAAGAAAGCAATGAAATGTGAGAAAAGGATTCAAACAATTAAAAGATGGGTTGGAACTCAAGCATGAAAAATTTAGTTAGGGTTTCTTCACCTCACGTCCTCCTTAAGTGATTTAACTCAATTCAATAAATCTCTATCTCTATTGTTCCAAACAATTTCTAAGTGATAATTGGTTAAATTCCTAATGTCTTAGTTATTTAACCCTTTAACGTAATTAGAATCCTAATTTCTTAGAAACCCATTTTAGATTAAGCCTTACGCGTGATGAATTGCACAAGCTTGCAAACCCTACAAATCTATGATCAGAACATGCAAGAATTGGTGCTTACCCCTGTCTAGATTAAGATCCCAATATCTTTATTTAGAACCCTAACCCTCTTTCTTTTTATATAGTTGATCAGATCATATAAGAATTTAAACAAGATATTCAAGATAAACACATAACAATTTGAGACAGAGTTTATTAAGAAAATTAAATCAATATAAAATTTTATGTTGGATTCGTATTCCTAACTACAAAAGAAATTAGCCACACATATGGCTTAAACAAAACAAGAAAAGAGAAAAAAACTAAATGAAATCTCTGAGAGAGGAATATTGGTTGATCTCGACGGAGCTTCGATCTTCCTTCAACCTACTTCTTGATCTCTAAACTCTGAATTCTCCGGTCTCGTTCTTTTCCCAATTGTTGAAGTCTGCCCTCTGTTTCCAAAAAGCTTCTTCTTATATTGAAGGGAAAGTATCTTTTCAAATCTTCAATCAGATCCTCGTTGATTAGATTCAAAATTTCAAAACTTAATGCTGGCGCTAGTAGTGTGGGAAGATTGTGGACCTGGCACTCCAAGCGCCAAGTTGGCGATTGTGGCGCAATAAAGCAGGTGACCTTTGCACTTGTAGCGCCACTCTAGTGCTAACAGCATGGCGAAACAGTAGCTATCATGGTAATGGCGCTTGAGGCGCCAACTAACTTGCTTCCTTCCTTTTAAGCTCTTCAACTTGATTTTTTTTCAATTGGTCAAAATCCCTATAAAACACAAGAATTTCATATGAGAATGCTACTGAGAGTAGAATAACACTTTAATCACAATTCTCATGTCTTTTAGTTATATTTAGATCAATTTCATGCTCAATTTGACTCTTAATACATAACAAGTTGGAAGCTCATCAATTCCAAACTAACAGACCATATTTTGCAAATTGAGAAATTCTTTTGGTCTCTCTCATACATATGTATTTAATATGCAATAACTAAAGATTCTTTCCATGTTTCCTATTCTCTCTCTATTGTTTGCATATTTTTTTGAATTTATATGGATCTCTCTTGAAGTTTAATTTTCTTTCATCATCTGAAAATGTTACAACCATTAGGAACTGAACGTGGCAGTAGGGTTTCTGCAATGCGTGCAGCAATATGTGACACTTTTCCTGAACCAAACCGCCATTTGTTGCAAAGGTATTCCTTGTCCTTTTACCTTTCTTTTCTTTCAGGAGAACTGATTGATTGCTATCTTTTCTTTTCTTTTTTGTTTGGTAAACCATTTATTGCTATCTTTGTTATCTTAAATGCTGAACTTTATTGTTAACAATACTATTATTCCTTGTTGTGACAGCCCCACATTTCTTGCATTTGTAATTATTGTAAATTATTTTTGTTATTAGGGTAGACTATTAGTTACCATAGATTGAGTTTTGTTTTAGGAAAGAAATTACTTGCATACTCTAATGTTGTGTACAGTTTTTAATTAGTTAGAGATAATGTTCTGTTTTTGCATCCAAGTTGGTATTGGAGTTCCAGGCCTGGGAGACTGCTTCTGCAAATTAACTTTAGCCTATGTTCATCGCATCCTCCATAGCCGCCCCTTTCATCGCGGCTGATCTCTTCCTTTTTTTTGCGCCTTGATTGTGCTCTGGCCTTCTTTTTAGTCTTCAGCCGTGCTTCTGCATATTAAACAATTTAACCCTAGCCTAAGTTCATTTTTTTCATGATGTAAAATTTTCATTTCGCTCCTGTACAGAATACTGTTGATGATGCAAAGTGTAGCTTCCTGCAAAGCTGAAAACAGAATGAGCTCATCAGCTGTGGCAGCATGCATGGCACCATTACTTCTTCGCCCCCTTCTAGCTGGGGATTGTGAGATTGAAAATGATTTTGATGTTGGTGGTGATGGTTCTCTTCAACTTCTACAAGCAGCTGCTGCAGCTAACCATGCTCAAGCAATTGTTATTACTTTATTAGAAGAATATGACAGCATATTTGGGGTAGGTTTAATTATATATTGATATTTTATTTTGCATGGCTTCCATTTTTTAATATGTCATCATATTGCATGCATCTCTTACATCAGTAACAAGCTATGGATGCATCGTGTTTCTTTGTTGATTCATAGTTGTCCTTGTTCTACAATTATCTTTTTCTAAATAACTACTGGAACCTTTCACTTTTTTACTGGTCAAATTCTTTTTCATGTTAGAGGATATAGTGGGCTGCTTATGAAATACTTTGCATGTATTTTAACGGGTTATTCTCAATATGAAATAGTGATAAGGTGCATATTTTGATGAACATGCTATTCCTCATATCAGCTTAGAATATGAAGTGTGGTTTTTCATTCCAAATCTCTCCTCCTTGAAAAGGGGTTAAAAAAAATGTAGATTTTTTTGAGTGTCTGGATTTTATAATCGGCGTGGCTCTCTGCCTCTATCTGATTAAAATGCATGCAGCTTCTAGTTATATTATTTTCAAATTTTCTTTGCCATGGTCTTTACAGATTCCTAATTATTAGTATTCTAGCAGGAAGGTTCTGTGTCCCCTGGCCCTGATATGTACTTTGACTCAGAAGATAGTGGATCTGAGAGTGAGGAGGCTACGGATGATGATTTGTCTTATGATGATTATTATGATGACGAGGAAGATGACTCAATACAGGAATCTGATGTAGATGCAGATGATGATGTTGTTAGTCAAACTGACAGCGAAACTGGAGACTCTACGGCCAATGACGAGTATGATGATAAGGTTTGAGTCTTATTTATTTCATGACAATTTGATGAAATTATAGCAACTAGGTTTGTCATTAAGCATATCCATTTCATAGGTAGGACTAAATTTAGTTTATGAAAATATTATAAATCAAGTTTTCACACATATGGTACGGATGCAGCAAATGACAACTTGAACAGTAGTAAAAGAGATATCTCTTCCTGGAAGAAGAAATGCGTAGTTGAACATGATGGAGAAATTTTGATGTTTTCCCAAATCTTACACTCTTTTCAGTATACCCTTCCCATCTTCAACCGACCTTAGTTTTTATTTTAACGTTTGCATTGTCAGACAAGTTATTACCCTAGCCAAGCTCTGTAACTTCTGTAGTAACTCGAATTTTTAATTTTGACTAAATATATATTTTGATGTTGTTCACCTATTTAATCTACAGATCATACGGTTTTTCCAATACTCTGCATTTTCACCCTTTCTTTGTTTTAGATTAAAAAAAAAACACTGTATTGGTTATTATTCATGTTTCATGCGGATCTGCCTGCCTATGGATGGTAATTTAATTAGAGTTTCTCCAAGGAGTAGCTATGGCTGGATGGGAAATACCCTACTTATTATAATTTTGTACAATATACAGGACCATGATCTTTCTAATTCGAGGTCAGAATTCTCGGTGGTGAGCGAAGATCATTCTGAAGTCGAGCAGATGTTGTCAACAACTTCACTTAAAGTCTCCCTGCCTCGACATGAAGATATCAAAAGCTGTGAAAATGTCACAAGCCCAAATAAGACTGCTTGGGAAAATGAGTCCAATAAGCCTGCTGATATCGTTGGAGGCTTTCCCACTGGCCAAACTACAATGCATAAATCAAATTGCCCTAACCCTTCTTCATGTTTGAACAAATCTATAACCATATCCAATGTCCCAGCACCTCGTCGCCGTATTGTATTGGGGCGAACCTCTGTGAGTAAAACTTTTCATTATTAATGATGTGATTTTTGTATCTCGCCATTTGTCTCTATCACTATCCTTAACTTGGTTAGAGCTTTTACATTCCATTTTCTTACTTTGCTTTCTGACTAGTTAAATTGACTTTATTCTATAAGCTCCAAGTTCTTATGCATTTTGTAATATGTCCAGGCAAGGAAGAACCTTTCAATGGAGTCCATTGATTTTCTTGATGATGATGAGTAAGTACTTGATATCTAACAACAGTGTCAAATTCTTGGTTCAACTCTCTCAGTGGTATCTTCTTTAGTTCCTATTATATCTCATTTGTTGCCATTTGGGCTGTGTTTCTTGAAACTGTTATGCCAGGTGAATATGGACTTCTTTGTGTGTATGTGTGTGTGTTTGTGTGATTGATCAGAGATGATATATTTGAGAGATAAACTACAAGGCTTTGTAATGTGCTTTTTTAAATTATGTATGCCTGTCCGAGAAGAGTTTATGAGGAGCACAAATAATCATACATCGATAGAGAGTATGCATGAAATAAATATCAAAACCATTTAAAATAATAAGTTAGAAACAGGATAATGGTAATTAAAATATTCAGTGCCACTGTATGTCTTTTAGAGAAGTGTTTAATCTATTTTTATACGACTAGGGAAATAGTATCATATGCAACTGTTAGAGTTTCGAAAGTTCTAATATCAAAATTCACCTGTTTCATTTTCTTTTTTGTGTCAAGAACTAAGGATAATTGATCGGGGGAGAAAAATTGCCTACCTTTGACTCCACTGTCTCTCCAGCAGCTGCATCCATACCATTTCCACACTTTGACATTCTTTTAACTCTATTCAATGTCATTCATTAGATTGGTGTTCCCTACTATTATTGATTTTTCTTTTTGGAAATTTATAGTCACTTAATTACGAATTCAGAATGTTTCGTAATGGTATTCTAAATGATGATCAGACCTTGCTGTGTATGTTTTGATTCGATGTGGATCTTTCACTTAAAAGTGAGCATGGCTCTTGCAATTTTCTCACTTTATCATTATCCACTAATTTATGTTTCTTACCGTGCTTAGACCTGAAATTGAGAGGCTCGAGACTGTTAAGACAGAATTGCAAAACCAAATTGCAGAGGAGGTTAATACTTAATTTTATCATGTTAACCTTGTTTATATATGTGCCAGAATTTATTTTCCATTTTTACTTCCACTTGCAGGTGAAGGTAAAGCTACAATCTGATATGGAAACACGAAAGAAAGCCTTGCAAGAGCGTCGTCTGGTTCTTGAGCAAGATGTATGTTCGTTATGAGATAACATGCCCCTCTTGCAGCATATGTGTGTGTGTGGGTATGTAAGCACCTTGATCTGTCAACCAAAATTTCTTTGCAGGTGGCTAGACTACAGGAACAGTTGCTGGAGGAGAGGAGGTCTCGGGCAACTCTTGAAGCAGTACTGAAGTTTCATCCAGGAACCTTTTCTGATTTAGTTGGTATTGATGAAAAGGTTAGTCTATCTCACTCATAGTCTGTTCTGTTGAGTTTATAATGCGTTTAACAAATTCTTAATCTGCAAACTTTCCACAGACCAAGGCAGATCTTGAGGAATTAGTGCTGATAGAAGTAGACCTTGCCAACCTAGAGCGGAAGGTTGGTGAGCTTGGGTCGCGGCTTAATGTACAACTCGAGCGGAACTATGGTTCTTTGTTGGATTTATGCAATCAAACCCAACAGATGTCAAATCATGAAAGAAATTTGTATGTTTATCATTACTTCTGTGCTTGTTACTACATACTTTTTTGTTCCTATTTTTACAATATCAGATTCCTAACTGCTTCAATTTTCATGAGAAAAATTATGTTCACAACGTCCTAGATTTTGTAGCGGGGCCTTTTGGCACTTCAAAATAGATTGTGTACAAAGAGTGGCTGTTGTTTGTTATTTGTTTGCACTTGACTATTTATTTCTATATGATGATTATATAAATAATGAAATTTTACCTTCCTCATGGGGAATCTATTTGACAGGGAGAATAAGCCTGATGCTGAAGTTGCAGCCACTTCAGAATCTGACAGGTCAATAAGTCAGGTAAATCTAATATATCGATTGAGAATTTGTTCTGTTCTCTCTGTCACGGTCACAAATATCATAACCAACTCAATGCTTGAAGATCATGTCAGTTATGGATGGATATCACCTGTAACATGTTTATACCCTTAAATCCATGAATTGTGGGTAATCTAATGCCCAAAATGAAGTAATTGTCCCCCTTCTTGGTAAAGGGTCCACTAGGTTAAAAGAAAAATAAGCAAATGTTCTGAACGATGTTGATAGTAATTTGGAATTTATCATCTGTTTAATCTGGTAATTGGCAATGCTACAGCAGGACACTCATTTTGGTGTAGCAGTAAATGATAATGAGAGAATGCCAGAGTCACCTTTACCAAACAAACATCCACCAAGTTCCAAGAAATCTGGTACAAGGGGTGAGGTAAGTTTCATAAACTTGGCTGTGAATCTAGATATAATCGGAGTTTTCTTTTCAATTGTGTAATCAGCGCTACTAATTTTGTTGTAGGGTCAAGAATTGCCTATACTTAGTTGATATTTCATGATAATATATGATTCTTGATTGCTTTTATCCATATCATTGCTATCCTTGGTACATTATCATTGGTTTAGTAATTAAGGTAGTGGATGAGTTTAAAGCATTTTTGGAAAAACCATTCGCAAGCCATGGAATCACGATTGAGGCTGCAAATGTGGTTCAAAATTTGTGCTAACATCTTTGGCAATTTTGGAACAAAATTTATTTTGCATCATCAAGATGGTTTTGATGTCCAACTGCAATAAGCAGTGAAGAAAAATTCAATTACATGTATATTGACAAAAACATTCTCATAATTTAATATCATATTATTAGTTTAAAAATATTTGCATACCGTTATTAATAATTATAAAGTTAAAAGTGATTTTTGTTTAAAATATCCAAAAAATAATATTTTTAACATAATTACTTACTAGATAAAATTTATCAAATATAATTCAAGCTAAACCAAGTTTGCAAAATCTAATCCAAACATATATGATCACGAACCAACTCTCTTCGAAGCTTATCTGAGACAGACAAATAAATGATTTTATATCAGGTCCATTTTTACCTTGTTCTGAAATTCAACTTATTTTACTAGATATCACTTGGTACATGAAGGGCCTGTTTGGAGTACCAGATAAAGAAGATACGATAGGATAACTTATCATATCCTACTTTTATCTCTTGTTTGGTGGGTCAATAGGATATGATTAGCTTATCCTATTGTCTCATTTTATCCTATCAAATACATGAGTTCTCATCCTATGGAGGGAGCTGGGTTAGGATTCAACAGGATAGGATACCAATATTGGATACCTAATATATCCCCAAGCTATCCAATATATTGTTAGGCGGGTCCAGGGGGAAGCCCGTGGCGGGGGCCACCACCAATGAGGTAAGGCTACACCAACCGTAGCAAGTGGATCCAACACTATGTCTCAACCCAAAACCTTAAGGCATTGGGTTCATGGGTCCTTTCACTTATATACTCTTCACTTAGCTCATTACCAACCAATGTGGGACTCATCACACTTGAATATCCCAACAATCTCCCCCTCAAGTGTGAAACCCACCATTGATTTGCTCTCCCTCAACTGAGTACTCCTGGCCCAAGTACTCAACCCGCCTCCTAGCCAATCATTAGGCTAGCTCGAGCACAACCCGGCTCTGATACCACTGTCAGGCGAGTCCAGGGGGAAGCCCATGGCGGGGGCCACCACCAATGAGCTAAGGCTACACCAACCGTAGCAAGTGGATCCAACACCATGTCTCAATCCAAAACCTTAAGGCATTGGGTTCATGGGTCCTTTCACTTATATACTCTTCACTTAGCTCATTACCAACCAATGTGGGACTCATCACACTTGAACATATATCCCCACGCTACCCAATATATTTGTATTTATTGCATTATATTTTATTTTTTCTTTCTTCTTTCTCCTTCTACATAATCTTATCAGATTGCTAATCAGATTCTCATCAAACACAGGACATGATATAGGCTTATCAGCCCCATATCATATCCTACCCTTATCAGCCCCATATCATATCCTACCCTTATCTTATCATGTCCACCAAACGAGTCCGAATAATTTATATTACATCTCTCACATGCCCCGTCAGAGCAGGAGCCCTTTAAGTCATGCACGAACCAACTCTCCCAAAACTTGTTTGGTTCATGAATGGTTTTAGTATATCTCCAATAGATAAAGGGCAAATCAGACTCAAACTTGTGACCTCCCGATCATAAGGAAGCAACCTTATCGTTGCTCCAAAGCTCCTCCTTTATATCTCTAGTAGATATATTACATTAAAAATTGGGTTAGAATCAATATACACTGATTAAGAAGTCTTACAACAAATTTTGCATTAGAATCATTGTTATTTGTACACTGATATTATATGGCAATTTGATTGGGGTAGATAGACTTATTTATTAAATGCTTTCACAGCAGGGAGCAAATTCCACTACTTCTGCACTAACAAAACTGACATCCAGACTATTTTCGAAGGATCGCCGTAATCAGATTTCAGATGAACCCCAAAATATGGATAAAGGCCAAGAGTTAAGTCAATCCTCACAGAACCTGGAAAAAGGAAAAGGATCAGGACTCCGCATATCACTGCCATTCCCCAATAATTCTCGAGGGTTTGAACTTCACCAACCACTTGCATCCCCCATTATTAAGTCTCGAGGATTTGAATGTTACCTACCACTTCTATCACCCAATTGGTCTCGAGTATCTGAAAACCATTCTCCAACATACCCAGAGAACAGTAGAGGCTTAGGCAGTCCATCATATAGACTCAGAAAATCAGATAGTCAACCAGGTCATCATCTAAATAGACAGAATCAATATTCACAAGCATACTTAAAAAGAGGAATGTCAGAAGGGCATCGTCATCAGTCTTATAATGTGGATAAAGGTAGATTATTTTAAGGCCAATCTTTTTTTACACTGAATAAGTTCCAGATGATAGGGGGCCATTGCAATCATTCAGCATTGTTCTTGTCCAAATGCGGCATTGCCATATCCTCAACAATATTTTGTGTGGTTTATGAAATGTGGTGAGAGAATAATCCTTCCCTGACACTGCTGGCACAGAGGCCTATATTCAAAGAAGCAGCATTTCATTTACCCCAATATGCAGGATGTGCAAGGCAGAGTTCAGCCATCCCCATGACATAAGCCAAAAACTGTGTAACATAACATGCTGATTGTTGCTGGCTATTGTGACAAGCATGTTGGTTTTTGTTATTACATTATCGTATTAGTAACTGCATTAATATTGAGTTGCTTGGCCTAAGCTGGCAAAGCGTTTTGCAGATAGAGCAACCAAGTTCCTCTAGTCTGAAGTTGTAGCTGACAAATTTTAGGCTAAGCGAATGTCATGAAATTCAAAGCCCCATGAAACTTATACGCATATGTTTCTTTCTTCTTTCTTTCTTTTTTTAGTGTTTAAAACAAGAGAGAATTGTAAAGGATAACATGCCATTTTCTTGAAACACTGGCTAATTGGTAATATATCGGTTGAACAAAAATAGGTAATGGTGGTAGACATCTTCTATGACTTAAAAAGAAAGAAAGAAATCTTCTATGGAAAAAAAAAAAAAAAAAAACCCATTGTTTTGAAACCGGTGAAGACATTTGTTCACAGTTTACTGGTCCGGTTGTAGTTGAATTGTGGCTGAAAAGTTATATTTAAATAAGGGATTTATTAATCTCCTTTAATAGAAGATAGCTTGCATCATGCATAAAAACAAGTTATGTGGGTCCCATCATTTTTATTTTTATTTTTTAAAAATGGCACAACTTTTTATGCTTCACTAACATAAGATAATTGTCTTCTATAAAATGAGACAATTTAAACCCTTTAAATAAATATAAAATTATAAGAAATCAAGTCAAGTAAAATTGTTTTTTGGACAACAAAAGTCAAGTAAAACTTTAAATTAGCATAAAAGGATTATATTATATATCCTGTGAGACTGAAAAAGAACAATAATGAAATATTAAATAATAAAAATCTATATATAGGCTTTTATTTTGATAAATATTTTCAGTTAAATAAAACAACTTGTTCGAATACGTTTTTCACAACTGATTTGACCGATTTTATGATAATTTGATTTAGGGCTTAGGGTTATTGGTTCACCAATTTTGCGGTCGAACTTGCCAATCCGATTGTTATAAGAATGGAAAAAATCATTTAAAAGAATTTGTTGCATGAAGCTGTAAATTCTTTCTTTGAAAATAAAAAAGACTATTTATATAGGATTTAATGTCTATCATGTTATAATAGGTAATTTTATCTCTTACATACACACTTTTATGTGTGTGAGACCTATATTTTCTTTTCTTTTTTTTCTATTCACATAACGTAATATAGGCCCTATATATAGGAAATAATTTCATCTCCTAGAAACATAAGTCCAATTTATATAATGTTAACATCATTGATAAAATCTTACAAAATGATGGTTTCCCCTCATTATATTTTTCTCCACAACACTCACTCCTGTCTAGGAAGGAAATGATGTGTTGGAAATGATTGTTCACAACAACGATATTAAAACCGGTTCGACCCAGTAAACTCGGTTTTTCAAAATTGTGGCAAAATAATTCACAATAATTACACTTCCACGATTTGAAATTGGTACCTGATCAAACCAAATACAATATGGGTTGGCCAATATGTATCGAGCCTAATCACACACAGTTGAGATGTGGATTGTTGTTCTTGGTCTTGGGCCTTGACTCAGAGTTGGATCTTACTATGTCTCTGTCCTTTGTTGTAGCGTGATGAATCCGAATGGGGGTACCAGCGAAGACACTCCGAGTGGTATGTTTGTATGTTATGAATGTAAAGGCTGATCATACCTTGGTGTTGTACCCTTTGCTTATATAGTGGTTATGATATCGCCTTAGCAAGGCGGCTTAGCCTCTGAGTGGCCAGGCTTGGGTTGCAGGTCAGTACTAGGACCTGAGTAGCCTTATCTTCTCTAATGTCCAGTCGTAGAGTCGCGGCAAGTTGGAGCTGTCTTTCGTTTATTGGAATAAAGGCGCGGTGGAATTGCCTTGGGCCTTAAGTTAGCTTCCTTAAGGGGGTTTTATCCGCGATATGGGCATCGCGTCCTGTCCTACGCGATGAGGGCATCGCGTCTTATACGCGATGTTTGTCCATCGCTCTTGCTCTGGATCCTTAATGGGTTTAGGCTTCTCCATACGTCATTAGGCCTCTAATGGGCCTATATTTTATCCGGATCAGTACCTAAGGGAATGGAAATAAAATACTAACCTTTAATTCAGATCACTTTGATTATCATATTACTTCAATTTATATATTTTTTATGGGAGGGATTATATTGATAAACTTTTTTTCTTACAAACTTACAAACTACACTAAGTCTGACTGGTCAGACTTCAATCAAGTGTATGACTAGTCAGACTTAATGTAGTTTGTAAGTTTATAAGAAACAAAAATTTGTCAATATAATCTTCCCCATTTTTTATATATCTTGACATAAATTCAATTTAAACAATTCAATCAATGACTCACTAACTCAGTACCCCAACTAAGTCGATGAACGATCCCAGTTTGATAACATTGGTTGCACATCATAGTAAAATGATGAATAAAAATGACGTACATATAACATTGTCAAAAAATAAGTATGCTATTTAAACAACAAAATTTACATACTACCTTTAATAGGAATGTAAATGGGCTAGAAGGCTTGTCAGGGGCTTACAGCTTGGCCTGCCTTGACTTGACCAATTTTAAAAATAGTACAAGCTTGAGCTCATTAAAAGGCTTTGTTTAAAAATCAAGCCACAAGTCAATTTTAACAGGCTTGGCCTTAAAGCCTATAGACCCGACTCGTATTTTTTAATAAATAATATTATTTTAATAAATAATAACTTATTACTTTTTAATAAATTAATATATTATTTTTTTCAAAAAAATAATATTTTGTTATTTTTTACAAAAATTATATCTTATGATTTTTTTTAATTTTTGCAATTTTCCCTCTTCTCACATGACAATTGGCAAACATATATTTTTTTAACCTTAATTCCTTCATCATCACCGCTCTTTCCCCTTCCCTCCTTCCCCAAATTTTGGTGCTCTTTTATCTCTTTCTCAACTCTTCATCCCTTCCAAACCATCTATCGTTCACCTATGATGCACCGATACTTCAAAAACTCTAACACTTCCCGACATTCCAACACACGTTGCAGAGACTCAAAAAAGAGTTCAAAGTTTGTGTTGCATTGCGTTTTTAGTGCCAATTATTAGATTCGTTAGATTACGATTACCATTTTATTAAGTTTAATATAAAGATTTGGAATATCTTATGTTTCTATGCAAAATTGACGGATATTATAAGTTTAGCTTTATTTTTTTATTAAATTATTGAATATTAAATATAATATACATTACACAAATTAAAAATATTATTTAATATCAAAACGTGTCTTAACGTGTCGAAATCTGACATATTTTAGAGTTAGCGTGTCAAAGTATAGTATGGTGTCGTGTCCCGAGTTGCTGTCAGTGCGGGACATAGTCGCTCACTATTGACTCTCAAGACTTTTCCTATGCAAGATAAGTTAACATCACATGCTATCAATTTGCTTATACGAGGATGCCTTAATTGATAAGACATGCTAGTTGCAATTCTAATCTCTTTGGTGGTGTGGGTGAAGCAACAAAGTCAACAAAATCTGAATCTCTTAATAAAGTTTTGATGATGTTGTTGAACAATTTAATGCCTTTAGCTTTTAGCTTTTGTTATCATCATGGTTATCATTTTTGTTGAGTGAAATTTTTTAATTCATGAGTGAGTGAATATATTTATTTATTTCTTAATATAATTAAACATTCTATTTCCTTGCCATTTTTTGTTTTTGATTTCTATCGACATAGTCAAATTGTTAATTTGTTGGGTTGTTATGTGCATAAAAAAGAAATATATTCCATCAAGTTAAACATACAAAAGAAATAAAATAATCATAACCTATATTTTACGGAGTCCAATATGTCTATTTTTAAACGTTGAACAGCTCTAATTTCCTACACAAGGAAATTCATTTTTATCGATGAAAGTGTTTAAGATGGAAATTCAAGGAAGATCACTCCCGTAATTCTTTTTCTTCCTTACCTAGAATTGAGGATTTTGGAGAACTCAATCCTTCTTTCTAGATCTCTGCTTCTCTTGGTTCACGAACAGTCCCTGACATGCAAACATAACTTTAACTATTTAACTTCTCCTTTCATGCATTGAGGCATTTCGAAAGGTTCAATGGGTAGGGTTTGACTTACCAGTTACCATTCCATTCCTCATTTTGGTAAATCATACTCTTGCACTTGTACTATGGTTATGACTTATGAAGCACACTCAATAATTATTGAAAATTTCCCTTTTAACTTTATTAATCTTTGCTATTGACAAGGGAGTTTTGGATGTGATAATCTCATTTACATCCCTAACCTTTACTCTGGTCATCAACAAGTAAATAATATTTTTAGGGACAGGATCCGTTTGCAAACTTTTTTTGCAATTACACTAATGTAGGACTGATCGTACACTGTGTGATTAATGTAGGACCGGTCTTACATAGTGTAATTTGTAAAAAAAAAAAGTTTGTAAATATAACATGCCCCATATTTTTATGGTGATCTGAAATATTAATCAATTAGCCACATTTATTAAAGATTTGCCATAAAAAATCTTTTTGTGCCAGAAAAAATATGAGCTAATTAAACTATTCTTAACCTTAACCCTCGCCAATAAAAAAATATCATATTACGAAAATTTCAATTTTCTCGCTTTTTGAAATCCTAACCCCACTCTTTACAGAAACCTTCAATTTTCATCAAATTTTGACAAAACTTTTAAATTCTGAACCACTCATTTTCAATCCTGAATTTGTCTTAAACCCCAAATTATTTGAGTAGAAAATAAGAATTTTGGGGTCTCAGGTAGAAAAAAAACTATAAAAAGAACTTTTTTGTAGTAATGCAAAAATCAGGAGATTGAATTCGACTTAAAACTTATTATTAGGCTACCAAAATAACGAATTAACTATAGTAATGGGACCCAAAAAAGTGCAATTAAGCTAATAAAGTTTTAATCTATGAAGCACCGACACTTCAAAAATTTTGACGTGTCGTGTCCGACACTTTCTGACACTCATCGACACTCCGACACTTCTCAACACTCTAATACTCATTGCAAAGACTCAAAAAAGATTCAAAGATTACGTTGCATTGCATTTTGAGTTCTAACTATTAGATTCATTAGATTACGATTACGATTTTATTGAGTTTAATATAAATATTTGGGATATATTATGTTTCTTTGCAAAATTGATGGGTATTATAAGTTTAGCTTTATTTTTTTGTTAAATTATTGAATACTAAATGTAATATACACTACATAAATTAAAAATATTATATAATATCAAAACGTGTTCTAACGTGTCGAAATTTAATATTTTTTAAAATTAACGTGTCGGAGTGTCGTGTCGTGTCGTATCTCGTGTCCCGTGTCGGTGTCGGTGCATCATAGGTTTTAATCTTAATTACTTGAACCAATATATAGAAGTCAAAAGCGAATAATACTTAAAAGTAAAAAAACAATAATGTATTCATTGTTAATAATTTGAAATAAACAAAATAAATCGATATGTATAAGGGAAGGATTAAAAAAAGTAAATATTTTACAAATAAAAAGATGGAGCAAGAGCTATGTGAGAAAGCGATGAAAGTTGATATTTTATCTTCTTTATAAGATAAAAATGGGAAAAAAGAAAAAACAGATTTAGGAGAGTAAAATGAAATATCATATTTTCATTTTTTTTATTTCAAAGTATTAACTTCTATCATAAAGCATAATATTTTCTATTCTTCTACTATTTGTTTTAATCAAACCAATATTCTGCCATTGATGCAATTAAAGAAGAAATCTTCTTTATGAAATTTTTCTATACTAATATTACGAGCTGAACTGTTAAATATTTTCATATAGCTTCGACTCACCACATTTTCAAACTACCTATATATTTTATGGGATAGGTTATTTTGCTTATCTTTTTCTGCATATCTTTGCTTATCATTCTAAAAGATTATTATATCAGAATCTTAATTAATATTTATCTTTCTCTCTCCTCTTTAGATTCTAATCTAACAGTCTCTTAGAGTGATAAACTAAGATCGGCAAAAAAAAAAAATAGATAGAATAACCTATCACATGTTTTATTTTGTAAAAATTCAAGAGGGGACAGTTTCTGCCACTTAAACTACGCTCATCATGATTTTGGTATTTTGACTGAATCAGCTTAAATGATTAATGTTGTAATTATATATTCTCAAATTAGTCATATATGATATCTCTGTAATTTCAAGTGCAAAGTGAGTTGTCAAGAAACAAAATGCCCTGTAAAACTAACAACGGTAAATATTTTGAATACAAATCGAGTAGGTGAAAGACACATGCTATCTGAAAAACTACTAATTTGTATCATTAGCCTCCCATTATTAGTACATTATCTTTGACTAAAAAGCAAAGCAAAGGAAATGCCAACCTAAACCTACATGTCCACCGCTTTAATAGGAGGAATTCCACCCCACACACCATGCATGCATTTTGGTGTTTGCAAACGCAAATGCAAGATAGAAAAAAATGTAAGAATAATATTTGAAAGGGAAAAGAGTGGTGCTAAGCAATTCGTGAATGGGCACAACTCAATTCTCGTGGCGCCAACCGTTTGTAAGCGTTTCATGTCTCTCCCATAAAATCCCGACACACACTCACCCCACCAAATTCGTATCCCTCTTTAATTCAAACTCCAAAACCAAACACCTTTTGATTGATTACACCACGAAGCCTCAAAACTCTCTCTCTCTCTCACACCCCTCCCTCATCTCCATGCATTTGTGATCGGTGAAGGTGTGAGTGCTGTGTTCGCCTAATGAAAAATGTGTCGCTAGCTAACACATTAATTAATGAGAGATGAGCTCCTAGCATAGCACACCATATAATCATCGACCTGGATTTAAATTTCAAGAAATGGAGATGCAGCGGTTGAGGGAATTGTTGTCACTGTGGTTAGCATTGAAAAGTAACCGAGTCTCTCTTGTGGGTGGAAATCACACTGCAGCTAGATTTTGCACTCGCTAATAATATACCTCCCTTTTCTCTCTTTACTCTCTGACCCTGTTACCTATCTTAATTTTTCTTCTTCTACATACATTAACCATAAATAACATCTTCTTTGTGTTTCTTTCTTTTTGATCAATCCCCCACCGTCATATAATAATACACTATGGCGGTGGACATAGCTGCTGCTACATTTGGAACAAAAAGTTCTTATTACAATAAGAAAAACAAACACTTGTTGCCTCTTGCTTTCTACCCAAAAGCCTATTATCTCATCATTAGGTTTCCTAATTCAATTTGGAATATTTTTTACCGTTTGATGATTTTGGCATTCATCATCTCTTCCTTCACATTGATAAGTTCATCATTGGTTGCAACAAACTCTAACGATTCGACAACCTCGACTATTCCCCAACAACAACAACAACAATCCATGCCTCATGAAGACATGGATCACCTATTAACACTTCTCTTCCGTGACCTAACAAACGAAGGCCTCATGAGTAAAACGCAGCACAATAAGGCTGTTTTTCTGAGCAATAATGTAAACGACATGAACATTAACGGAGAAGGGTTTCAGGTTGTCACAGACTACAACATGGACCACATTTCCTTAAACGACTTGGAGAAACAGAGCACGATACTCGACGACACGGTTGACTTTGTCTTCACATCTAACTTCCCCGCAGCTTCGGAATTCATCGAAAGGACCCTAAAAAACGGCGGTGTCGTTACCGTGCTTCTAAACGACAACCCCTCAGCGTCGTTTTACAAACCGTCAAACTTCAAAATCTCATACATGAGGCGGTTCGACCTAATCGCAATGGCGATGAAGAAAACCGGCGAAACAAAACTCGGATCGCAAAGAAAGCTATGTGGTTACGCAACAGAAGCGAAGAAAGCTGCATTGAAGAACCTCGAAGACGTGCTCCTTGAACCACCGCGTGCAGCCTCGGGGAAATCTAGGGTTTACTTGAAGCGCACGAAGTACCTACCAGATTTGATGGGCGATTCACTCGAGAGTTACCCTCGCCGTGTTTTCATCGACGCGGGGTTGCCGGAGAAAGACGGAGGAAGCGGAACGGATTGGTTTCCGAAGAATTACCCGACGAGGAACAAGAATTTCGAGATTTACAAGATAGAGACAGTGGGTGAGGGTTCCTCGGAGCAACAAACAGAGATGTCGGATTGGTTAAGGAAGAATGTGAAGGAAGAAGAGTATGTGGTTATGAAAGGTGAAGCTGAAGTTGTGGAAGAGATGATGAGGAGCAAAGCCATAACGTTGGTTGATGAGCTTTTCTTGGAATGCAAACCGCAAGGTTTGAAGAAAGGGAACATGAGAAATCGAAGGGCTTATTGGGAATGTTTGGCTTTGTATGGAAAGTTAAGAGATGAAGGTGTTGCAGTTCATCAGTGGTGGGGTTAGTTAAATTAGTTTGTTTTAATAGAAATTAACACAAAGAGGAGAGAGTAGTGTTAATGTTGATGAAGATGAAAATTAAGACTTGCAAAGTTTCAGGCTTCACAGAGAGTTATTAGAGAGATCGAGAGTGGAGGTGGCATTATAGCTGGAGCTAAAAACAAAAATAAAAAAAGCCAAGGAGTTTTCTCTGTTGTTTTATTTTATTTTATTTCTTGTGTGGCTTGTGTTTTTCAACTGTTTATTTCTATATATGTCTGTTTTGTGGACGTTTCTGAAAGTTGTTAAATTCGAAGGGATATTCATGAAAATAATGACAGTCATGATGCTACAATTGAGGGACTTGTGCCTAAAATGTATAAAACAAAGAAAATATTACTGCTTTCCTTTCTTTCATGGTTTTTGTCACAATTCAAATCATGCTATATATATTAACCATATGATACATCAATTTCTTTATAATTTTGTTCTCGTCAAACGGGTAAATTTTTTTTATACATTTGGCAAAGCGACAAAGATTTCTTTGAAACAATGAAATAATATCAAAATTACTTTAAAATTTGAAATAAATTATTCTACTTACTTTTTTTTAATGTTTACTTTATCTAATATTCTCCAATATCATTAGATCAAAATTTTGAGAGGAGAAAAAAATGATAAAGGTTGACTCTAATCTAATAAATTGAAAGATAATAGATAAAATAAGCATAAAAAAAATAAGTAAAATAATTTATTCCTTAAAATTTTGGTAAAATATACTAAAAACTTACTGGATCAACTGGAACCCATCTAAAGTATTTATTTGTATTGTTCTGATTTTAGTGCTTTTTAAAAAGAAAAAACATTTGTACTAAAAATATAAAATTATGCAATAATTTTATTTAAATTTGTGCGTGAACCACTAGCAACGTGATATGCCAAGAACAGTATTATCTCACCTACAATTGATTCCAAGAAACCAAGGCAATCTCGATTGAAGCTGGTTCAAGACTTTCCAACTCTATCATTGGCAAAAAAAATTTAATTAATTACAATTTAAATATTACGAATTTATTATTGTTTTGAAATTATTTACGCGTGTATTACAGTGTGTTATGCCCAAATTGGACGTCACTAGTTACGCCTAAATTAGGCGTCAGGAAGCACCTAAGCTTAATTTAGACATGACTCGTCTAATATTGACACGTGTCACAAAAAAATAAATAATTTAACTTAAAACTTCGGAATGCCATAACTTTTGACTCGAGAATTCAAATTAGGTAATTCTTTTTTTGATTCCATATAACTTTTCGAGATCTACGTAATGACACCTCATTTAGCATATTTTATTATCTCTCACAAACACAGTTCAAATTTGCAACAATAATACTATAAAAGCATTTAAACCTAGAAGCTTCCGAGTTAATTTCAAGCCAACATCAAATGCAATATTCTTTTTAAACAGAGTAAATACTTTTTTCGTCCTCAAGAAAAAACACAAGGTCCATTTTAATCTCTTAAAAAAAAAGTCGACTTGAGGTCCCTCAGAAATTCAAAATAAACCCAATTAGTTGAAATCGTGGTCTCTCAGAAATACAAAGAAGACCCATGTAATTTTTTTGGCTCGGAAGTCCGAAACAGATGATTTTTTTTATTCAACATAACTTTTCGATATCTACACACTGAAAAATTTTCACTGAATTATTTATTAATGCTAGGAAGAAAATTTTAAATAACATCATTCACAAAGATGAAATATGCCCAAGGGGCATCCAATTGCATGCTTTTTATGGGACTCATAGATTCTTCTGGTAGACTTTATGGTTTGATAAAGAGGGTTTGAGGTGCTATATATGTCTGTAATAATGCATTCTTCGGCGTCTATAATAGCATAATTCATCTCAATCCCTCTTATCAAAGCATGTTTCACAGCTTAAGAACATATTTTTAATGCAATATATCAAAAGTTTTGCATTTTTTAATGCAACTTAAAGAACATTATATTCTTACCAATCTCTCTCACACTTTTATATTGTGGCACTTTCTTTTCTCACAATATTATACACTATTTTTTTTCAAACACTTAGTAGAAAGTATATATTTTACTATGACATTACGTATTCTTATTTATATATGGATTAATTTATTTTGGTGCCATCATTAATTTCAGACCACGACTTACAAGATAAAGTCTCATTGTTGAAAATTCAAACTGTGTGGAAAATAAAATATGTCAAATGATGTGTCATTAAGTAAATATCGAAAAGTTATGTGGAATCAAAAAAAGAATTACCTAATTTGGATACCCGAGTCAAAAATTATAGTCTTCCGAAGCTTTATGTTAAATTGTTAACTTTTTTGTAACACGTGTCAACATTAAATGAGTCACGCCTAAATTAGGCATAAGTAGGGGTGATAAACGAGCCAGAGGCCTTTCAGGGGCCTTTGGCTCGGCTCGTGAAGGCTCAGGCTTACATGCCTAATATTGGTCGTTGGAACCAGGCTTGGACTTGTATAAAAACTCGTTTAGTAAAAAGGCCTCAGGCTCCAATTCAAAAGCTCGGCCTTGGAGCCTCTCAGGCTGACCTAGTATATTAATTTTTATTTTTATTTATAATTTTATTTTTATTTTTAATAGCCCTCTCTCCCCTCTCAATCAATCTCACCCCTATTTTATTAGTTAAACATACTTTTTGAATGATTTTGTTCTATATTATGTTGTTTCGATATACATTGAATTTATGAATATTTATGGAATTACTAGTGTTGTGTGTTGTTGATTGTATATTCTGTTTGGATTAAGTTTTACTGTCTTATTTTTTTCTAACAGGCCTAATCAGGTCTTTTTTTTTGTAAATAAGGCAGGCCACAGGCCGATAATTATATTCGTAACAGGCTTGGTAAGGCCGACACATTTAATCACAGGCTTAGTCTTTTAAGAACAAAGCTCGGCTCGGCTCGGCCCGTTAACACCCCTAGGCATAAGCAATGGCGGACCTGCACTATTGCCCATGTGGGCAGGTGCAGACACTAACTTGCAAAAGTAACTATTTTTTTCTAGGGATAGGATATTGTGACACACAAATAATGTTACGCACAATGTTACGACCACATCTTAACCGTTGATTTCCGCCAATCAACGGTTATCATTTTTCAAATCAAACTCATTAATTAATTATTAATTCGCAATAAATGATAATCCGAATCCACCTAACCACCTTAAATTGTAAACCAGCAAGCTTCCGTTAAAAGCTCTACTCAAATAGCGGGTTTTGTGGGCCTCTCCATGAGTCCTAACTGATCACGTAATAGAATTATCTAATGTTTCCTTTTTCAGCTATACCCTCTTCCTAAATATGTTCCTACCTATTATCTAGATTACCCCTTAACCTCACCTTAACAGATAAAGAATCTCAAATTTTATAGCCTTTCAAAATCTATCCCCCGGTAGTTAAGATTCGCCTCTTCTAAACACAAGTAGAAGTACTTTTTTTTCTTTTTTTTTTCAGTGAAAATAAGCAAGCAGCTGTCAACTCCATTTTCAAAGTAAACGCCATTGCTATATATAATTGACTCAAGGTCAAACTCCTCGCTACCATCTGTACAAAAAAGTATGTCTTGAAATACAAATTGCCAACACTAAATAAGTACACATGTAGCGTTATGGGAGGGATAACATACGCTTATGCACTCATGGTTTCGGATTAAAATCTTCCAAAAAAACATATGAGTAGGTCAAGTTTTCACTGAAGTGAAATCATAGCATTCTATTTATCATGCTCCAGCAAGAGCAGAAACATGCAGTGACACACTAATATCATATTCACAGGTTCTGTACAACTAGCTGAGTTTTCTCAGTAATCATTATTTAGAGGAAAAAAATGTAATCCACTTTTGCCAACTGTAGAATGTGTTGGGCAAAGTATACTATAAAACCACAGCTAAAGCAGCAGAGATAGTGGTTTATAGGGTGTCAACCTATCAGTAGGTCAAAATGCTTTACAGAGGTTAGCCCTCATGTTAGATAAACCTTGCTGATGAATTGGAACTGCCCACAACTTGCTCCTCTTTGGTTCAGATATCCTTACATGTGAAATTGCATTGGCAAGTGCATCAATCCACACACAAACATCATGATATTATGAATTGCAACTTTCAGATGATGAAGAAAGGCTTGAAACCTCATTAAGGAACCCATCATCCATCCTGTTTCTTCCTAACCTAGGTTCAGGTGCAGCAACAAAGTTGTGGCAAGCAGCTCCATTTTGGTGCTTCAACTTTGATTCAACGGGCAGGATCTTCAATGTACGTTCTGTGTAGAAAGATATCCATGGATGTCCTGAAATTGAACCACATAATATTAATTTAACATGCAAACAATCGAACAGTTCTTAAAACTTAAAAGTACTGTCATTTTATTTCCTGTTTAAAAACATTAGGGAGAAAAAGAGAGCCTCAACCACATAGAAGAACACATAATAAAAACTAACAAAAGTAAGTGAGAATTAACAGATTCCCACTGTTATCCCAACCAAAACAAGGCAATCCTTCTAATTATTAAGAATTCATGTGAAAGGCAAAGATACTTTTCAACAAAACTTGGAAATTTCTAATTTTAATTATTTCAAGATTAAAAAACAAAAAATCAGACCAAATACAACTAGTCTTTGGTGTATTCATCATTGAGGAAGAGAGATAAAGCACGCTACAAAACATTAATAATCTATCATAAACTTACTAAGTACTTCATCAGCTGTTATCCTTGCTGAAATATCCCTTGTCAGCATTCTCCCAACAAGATCTCGTGCAGGTTTAGATATTGATTCCCACATCCCGGTTTGGAAATCTAGCTTGGAATTCTTAATAGCCTCAAAAACTGCTTCTTGTGAATCCCCTTTAAATGGAAGAACACCAACCAACAGAGCATGCAGGAGCACTCCAGCACTCCATATATCCGCCTTTTCTGAGTATCTACCCAACAACACTTCTGGTGCAACATATGCAGGGCTCCCAGCCAAACCCGTCAAGTTCTGACCTGCAATGCAAATTTCTAGACAATGAGGCTATGCATAAACAACATAAATGACTCATGTATGTATCTTTTACTTATGTGTGTGTATTTATATATATGTCAATTGAATTACTGATATTTTTAAATGCTTAAAAATTAAACAAAGTGACCTTAGAGTAGGAATGGTTAGCTTCAAACTATTATAAGCATTTTCTCTAGGACCTCTTATTCTTAGACCGCTAGCAAATTTAATTGAATACTGAACATAGTAAACTTAAGGGAGATGACCATCTGAACTCTCCAATTTTTTACTCCTATGTACAGGGTAACATTAGTAAAGTACAATTCAGTTGAAAGCTCATCATGATGAACTTCTTCAAACTTGCCTAGACATTTTTTATTAACAGAATGACTAGGATGGAATTTTACACAAGGCAGGTTGTGTAAGGATTCTATTCATAGAAGTTAGCACATATATATACCATAGGATAACAAAAAAACTTGATATCGCTGTGCACAACTCCCATATCATGACAATACTTGATGACCAACATCACTTCCTTAAGTATATTAGCAGCCCGCTGTTCAGAACAAGGGCCCTCCCTAAACATCTGGTCGACAAGTCTTCCCCCAGAGCACAATTCCATCACCAGATGAGAGCAATCAGCTTCCTCATACACTGCCAGCAGAGTCACAACCCCAGGATGCCCAGACAAGTGCTGCATTATCTCCACCTCCCTGTAAACAGTCTCATCCCCCTTCTTCAGAGTCTTACACGCATACTCCGCGCCGCCAACAAGAGACCTACACAACGAAACAGATCCATACTTTCCTTTCCCGATCGTCACCCTAGTAACATAATCATCTTCAATCTTGTTCTTCCTCCCCATCTGGGTAGCCACGTCAATGCAACCTATCTTCCTCTTTAGGCCTCTTCCCGCGGTCATCAGAGACAATGTCCCACAAGGAGGAGCAGTGGCAAAACCCGCCACCCTACTCTTGTAGGAACCAGCTGAGTCTATCTTAGTATTTTCTCTACACCTCTTCTTCAACCTCGAACAATCTTCCATCGAATAATGGGTCTCAAAATTGGACGACGGAGACCCATGATTGGATCTCAAAATGTCAGTCAATTTCGAGGACTCGTCACACTCACTTCCTTTCCTTTTCATCCTCATAGCATCTATCAGTAAAGTACCAACGCAACACCAATCTTTGTGTTGATCACGTACCCAGTGTGCAAAATCCGATTTTTGCCGCAAGACACAATTCTGCAGTCAAAATAGAGAAAGATCAGTCAACGAATTCTAGTCAGATTGATCATGAATGAACGTAAAACCACAAGGAAAGCAACCAAACACAAATATTAAACTTCAAGAAAGTAAATCGAACCCCGAAGCTTTTTCGCAACGTAATGGCGCCAAAAAGAGCCATCACATCACGAGACCCCTGCAAGACAAGACAAGAAGATGCCAGAACATAGAAAGAAAAAGAAACAAACCTTCGCAATCCCAACCAATGATCCTGTAATGCGTTGCGGAGAGTATAAGCAATGAGAAAAAAGTCGCAAATTGGGAAACTATTACGACGTAATTTCTCAATCAGGGACTGAAACCCTAAAAATCTGCTATCAAAGTTTTAGGGGAATGCGCGAACGACAAGCATAGAAAAAAGAAAGAAAGAAGACGGGTACTCTCATAGAGTCACACTCTTTTTGCTTAGCTAACGTTGTTTCCTTTAATATAGGATGTTCCAGTACATTGTTTTATGTTCTCGTGCGTGCGTCACTATTTCAAGGGATGTATTTGATTACGATTTTGAAAAATTTTCTCAATCAGTGGAATAGAAAAATCAACAGGGTCAAATTAGGTAAGAAAAAAAATGAATATCGTCAAATTATATAAGAAAAAGCATTGAACGTGTATAAAGTAGGAACTGTTTTAAAAAACTAATGAATAACTTTAATTTGGATTTTGAAATGGTAATCCAAATATTGAATTCTGGAAATTATTGGTATTTATTCCCTTCTTTATATTGTTCAATACCAGATTAATTACCATTTAATAGTCATCATATTAACGAAATTGGAATTTTTTTCCTTACACACGTTTCTCATTTTCATCATATTAATTACCATTCAATAGTCAACAAATTTCACATAAATGTTTGACTTTTTTTGCAATTTATGCTTTTTTTAAAATAGAAATCGCAACTAACGTATAGTGAAAAATATTTTTTTCCTTAAAAATGCAGTTTTTGAGAAAAAAAATTCATTCAAACAAGTCCTTAATTTTCACCTCTGCTATTTTTTAAATTGTTGAAAAGTTAAAAAAAAAAAAAGATAAAAAGCTTTTTTTGTAATATTGCTCTTAACTTTGATCCGATCTGATACGCCAATCCCATGGGAATAACAAATTGGATTTTTTCCTTACACACATTTCTCATTTTCGTCATATTAATTACCATTCAATATTGTCATCATATTAACATTGAACATGCATAAAATAGGAGTTGTTATAAAATACTAATGAATAACTTTAACTTGGATTTTGAAATGGTAATTCAAATTTGAATCTGAAATCATTGAATATTACTTTAACTTGGATTTTGAAATGGTAATTCAAATTTGATATATACTGAAAATCATTAAGTGTTTATTTTATTCTAATAAATTTTTAATGACATGGAAGAAAATGAGAGAAAAGATTAAGAACGAGATGACGCTAATTTTTTTTAATTTTTGATTTCTATTATTGTAGTTGCTTTATTTTTCTTCTCTTCAGTCAATTGAGAAAAGATTTGAAACTTTAAAAACTTTTTCCATTTTCTCCTCTCAATCCAAAGATGAGGTTAAGGCATGACAACTATATATTAGCATATGATATTAAAAAATAAAATGGTCAAGGGAATGAGAAAAAAAAATGTGAATTGTGAAGAGGATTGAAAAATAATAGTTAAAACTATATATTAGCAATTGTCGTAAAAAAAATTATATAATAAAATATTATAAACTTTTATATAATTTTTTAAATATAAAATTTGGTATTTCGATTAAAATCTATTGTCATTTGCAATTTTATACAGTTGATGAAATCTATAAACAAAAGTAAAGAAATAGATTTTTATTGTGTTATCAAACATAATTTTGATTATCGGAATAAAAAAAAATGTGTTATCAAACATAATTCTGATTCTCGGAATAAAAATAAAATATGTTAACAAACGTAATTCTGATTCTCAGAATTGTTCCAAGGCACAAAAATAGAAAAGAATCATTCCTTTTCAGAAACAGTGCCAGGAATTAGAATGATTGCTCATGTCAGTGGGAATTGTCGTTGATTATATATCAAGCAAACATATAAAAATGCACTAACTTTTTCGATAAACATTTCAAACATAAAATTTCACTTTCCTCCCACAACATAATAAGTAATGAACCAAACATTATTCTAATTGATCTCAGAATGTTTTTAAATGAATAATATAAATCATCATAT